CTGTTTCCTACTGTTTTGACTATGTACATATACAGACCCTCAATGCCTGATCATGACTAATTATCCAAACTGTTTTTTTTTAAGTAGGAAGGCCTGAACTACTAATATTTCAGGTGTATTTGCAAGTCAGTGTTTGGCATTTTTTGACCTGTCATTTTCTTATTTCATATTAGGCTTTTGCCTTAATAATAACGTTTACTTTACAGCCTATAACACTTGTGGACATTGTGTGGTTGAGTGCAGTGAAATACATCACTGAAACAATGCCATGCTTTCAGCTGACCAGTTGCTTTACTTTGACATTGTGCCAAAAAGAGTTTACGCAACTTCTAACGTTGCCACTTTCTGTCTATCACTATTTTACTGTTTGAAGCATGACATTTCCTTCATCATCAGAAGGTGACAATGGTACACTTTGAGTTGCTATTTGAAATCAGGACTATGTCTTTAGAACAGCCATGAAAAATGCAGTGGTTTATTGTCAGTATAACTAGAAGTATTGCTGGAAAAGAGATCCATTAATTCATTTATCAGCATCTGGGCCGCCCATCAAGTTAACAAGATCGCCCTGATCATCCTTTTCTCTGCATCCTCTTCTCTGTTCTACTGTAGATGTTTCCCAGCAGTGAGTTATTGATATTATTGTTTAAGCCTGCATTCCTCATATGTTGTCCTGAAGGAGCACAACACATTTTTTGATGCTCCATCGCATCTGATTCAGTTCAGACTTGATAATTAACTGATGATTGGAATCACATGTTTTAGAGCAGGAAAAACACTACAAAACTGAATTTGAAAAAGACAGGAATGGTAGGAAGCAAAGCACTGCATGTGATTCTCTGTTTTTCTGTATGAAATTGGCTTAATTTAAAAGAGAATTAATCTGTTTTATATGTTGAATTAAGGCTACTTCTCAAATATGAGAGTAATAATGTGAATAAGTTTGTATGAACTGTAACTGGAAGTATCCAATTAATAAAGGAATCAAAGATTAAGAATGTCTCACCTGTTAAATGAGATTAATCCTCCCTCTGCATGTAGTCACTCAATTAATCTCACTGACATGAAATAGGGATGTATCTTGTGGCTGCTGAACAGTTCTACAGTACTACAATTTTGGAAAGAACTTAAGGAAGCGAAAAGCATTGCTAGTGCTAGTGCCGGTTTTCTTTACTCATGGCTATTTATAATAAATTTTAAAATATGAATGAAACATTTGTGAAGAAATTCTCAGTTTTCCTTATTGATTTTTGTACACCTAATGTTTTGGCTATGGCCAAGAGTTTTTGCCCCGTGATGGCCTGCTTTGCTGCCATTGATACATTTTAGTGCTCATGTTGAGATGTTGATCCATACAGTATTAACTCCGCTGCTTTAGTTAGCTCTCCTGTATCTTGTTTTTAATTTGCAAAGCAATTACACAATTGGCCAACAACTGAGCAACTAGTTGTCCAGTTACTAATGATGCCCTCAAACAGGGGGATTATGTTTAAAAAACAGCTGTGATTCCTTGACCTGTTGGAGATGTAAACAGCCTGTATTACTGGAATCAAACTTCCTGTCCCAAACTTTAACCTCATGGTCATTGTTTCTGTTCAAATCTAATGTACTGTGGTGCCAAATCAACCTCACATTCTAATCCCTTACAGAATGCACAGCATGTGCTCCTGCAGGAATCTGTACGTGTTTCTGTATTTGTAAATAATGTAATGTAATGTAAATAAGAGATAATATTGTCAACTACAAAATATTGCCCATTATAAATGTTATTAAATTGTTACATGATTGTATGTTATACTATACTATAATTTCTTATTTATAATTTAAACAAAGTGGAACTTGACTAGAAGGTATACAGATACAGCTATAATGTAAATTTAGTGCAGTGCTTTATAATAACAACCACTTCTGTTTGTCTGGCACTGGTTCTCAGTACCTGAGGTCTCAGGATCTGCAGTGCTACATTTATAAGGACCTGCATGCTAAGTTTGTCTCCTCTTTATGCAATGGTGTAGGTCTTGTCATGCGTGTAAAGCCTCAGCAGATTTTGATGCAATCAGGGTGATTAGTGAGGCTTTTCAGTCTATCCTTAGCCTCCCAAGGCCCCGATTAGCAGGCAGGCCCTCAGGTGGAGGAGGGCTTTTGAACTAGCAGTTTGCTGCAGCTCTACTTACTCCTAACTCACTCTATGTGGAGTCAGTCTGGAGGAGCCATTCCACCTTCATGGATGGTTTCTCTGATTTCTTTCACCACCTGAAATCCTATGGTTCTTGACATGGTGAGTATTTTATTTGGGATTTTTGTTTATTTCAAATTTGTGAACTCCTATATCATAAAATTAGCAATTATTTGATGTCTTTTTTATTTCTTCTCTGAAGTGTCTCCTGGAACAGTAGAGACTGCAGTGAATTTTTCTAAAAACATTTTTAGTATGTTTTGGAAAGCATGCTTATTGAGATTCTGTCACTACTGATAAAAATGTATGCTTAATGTAAGCATAAATTTTATCTTGAGAAAAATAGTGTTCTACTTTCATTGGCATTTAAGACCCAATGTTTTCCTAAGCACCCAGTATAATAGAAATCTCAGTATATCCATTTTGAACTATGCTCTGCACAAAGCTTTAAAACAGCAACTGACTTTAGTTTAGCATCTGTTACTTATACAACTTGCTGCTCACAGACCATTGACATCACTGTTGTTGTTTTGGGAAAAATAATAGCTTTCTTACGAGTTGTGTTTTTTGTTGACACTACTTCATGTCATTGCTCACTTCAAAAGCAGAAATCAGTACAGGCCTGTAGATAATTGGAAGTGAATGCGATGTCTTCAACCTTGCCAGAGAAAAGGATGTGGTTTTTCAGTTTCCTCAATTCACCCTGCGAGTCCACCTGGAGGCAAAATTAGATAATCTGGAAATCTCTGGTTGAAGGTTACTTAGCATAGTCACTGTTTTTGTGGCTGTGTCTATGGCAGAACAGATGTTTTTTACATTTTCTATGATTGCAAGCTGTCATAAAAAGTATTGCCTACAGTGGATGGTAAGAAGGAAAACTGTACAGCCTGTCAGATTTATTTGCACATCAATTTATGTGTTTGCACATTATCACAACATCTTCCATTAATTTATATGTTTATGTTTTGAGGGTGTTCTGTAAATCAGTGAGATAGACTTGTTCTAGGCTGAACGTGCACTTGTAGAAATCTGAGAAAATTATTTAAGGAAATGTAAAGGAAATACAAGCAATAGGTAATCTGCAAGCACAGGAGAACAATCTGTTAAAGTACATAAACATTAATTACAATAGCATACCATTAAATCCATTCCAAGTCAACCTTGCCATTGCCTGTGAAATACACCATTAAGCACTTCAGAACAACGCAAATTTAATACTATTTGATATCAATATTTATTGTCCATTTTACCCCTGAGCATTTTAAAGGCCACCTGTTGGTCAAGCCACTGGCAGTTGTTGACTTTAATGATGTAATTTGTTTGTTAAACTTATATACACATATTTTTATTTTCTAGATATTTTTTGGCTGACTTAAATTTCCCTGTCCATTGTAACCTAAACCAGCTGTTTTTTTTTCCTGAACCTTCAACCTGTTACCTGTTCACATCCATTTTTTTCCTTGCAGCTGAAGATAAGCTCTTTACTTTAAGTCAGACAAAGCTCAATGTCTGCTCTTTTTATCCCTTGTTACTTTTAGTCTTTGACACTTGTTCGCAGGTGACTGGCTGCAGCTTAAAAACCAAGTGTCAAGTAAAGCTGCTCTCTTTCCATATGACCTAAATTAATTTATTTTGACATGGCATTTGCTTTAGTATTACTTTTTGTTGGATTTTGGCCATTGGTTTAGGAAAGTACATCTATCATCTTAAAAATGTGTTGGACTGAGAAAAGATTTAGATGGTCAGATCTTTTATTGCCTTATTTCAAAGAAATGGACAGTTCTAGTAATTTTCTCACAACAACTCACAACAGCACAGATGTTGTTGGCACATAGCCTTCATGTGAGTGTTGTAAGACTACTAAACATTTAGCAAATGATACTTGATTTTTAAATATATATTTTTCTGTTTCAGCTTTTTTGTAAGTTGGGCAGCCTCTCTCTCTTTGTTACGCATACACAAACCACTAAACATGTTTTCTACTTTCTCTCTTTGGATTACCTCAAATAGAAGTTAAGAGTGCTATATTCTGGACCGTTTAGGAAACATTAATCCTTTTAAAAGGAGGTTCGAATTGAAAGAATTCAGAGATTAAAGAAACTCTGTCCAACCGTTTAATCTCATTAGTCTTTCTTGTATTGCAAGGAATAGAGAATTTCCAACTGTTTTAACATCAGTGGTGGAGAGTAAAATAGTGCATGTACTTCATTACTTCAGTACTTTTTTCAAGTATTTGTTTTCACTTCTGTACATTTCACAGTAAAGTATCCTACTTTACTACTTTCTGTAACATGCTGAGTATGTTTTATTTATGAGTATTTTTATACTTTAATTCAAGTAAAAATATAAATAGAGCACTTTTACTTGAATAATATTTTACTAAAGGTGTCTCTACTTTCACTCCAGTACTGGATTTGTGTACTTTGTCCACCACTGTTAACTACAGTTTCCATTTGAAAAATTAAATTCTGATGCTTTCTTGAGTTTCACAAAGCACAGAAAGACTATGGTGGTATATACAGAGGCATCTCTATTTCATTATTCTTCTGCTTGCATTATCAGTTGTATTCATTCACTATTCCACAGAGGAGGAGACATCAGAAATCGTTAGACACAAAAATTGCCTCACAGCCAACACACAATCATTTACAACAATCTGTTATCACAGCTCCTTGCTCATTGTGCTATTCTGTTTTTCAGCACAGAATGAAGAAGAGAGTGAGCAACTGGACTGCCAAGGTGTGCGGGAGGAAAGTAACTCTAAATCTCCCTGTTTTGATGTGATTCCTTTCTGCTTCTGGGCTGACACTGGCCACTAGGCAAAATGGCCTCTCATAAACGCAGCTTTCAGTGCTTTGATGCCATTGTGGACAACTACCCTCAGAAGCCCTCTTTTTCTGTTGGGCATCGCTTTGCTGCACCTCAGAAAAGCTCTCATAGCTCGACACGCTTGGAGCCGCTGGAAGATCGTGGATGCTACCTGTGTGCAGACCACCAGCAGGCCAAGCCGACGACCTCAGAGGCCTCAGGGACTCAGTCTACTCCATGGTACCAGCCTCAAACCCACCACCATTCACCAAGGAGGCCCGCAAGACCAGATGGAGAGCCTGCTGAGGGTACAACACATGAACACCACCACCACCACCACAGCCACTCCAAGAGGATTGTGCTTGTGAAGAATAGTGACCCATCCATTCAGAAGACCATTGTGCTGCACCGCAGGACTGTGCGCAGCCTTGGAGTCTTTTTGGATGATGTATCTGAACTTATGCAGTGTCTCATCAGGAAGCTGTTCACACTGGAAGGCCGCAAGGTAAAACAGCAGCAGTTTATCCAGTTTTGTTTTTCTTTGCTGTGATATAGTCCTCTGGTAATCTTAATCCCTTAATAACAATTTTTTACTTTAACAGTTAAACCTCAGACACAATCAAAGAGTCAGAGAGAGAGAGAGGCAGAGAGAGAGAGAGAGAGAGAGGTCAGAGTTAGACTGTGTTCAGACTAAATATGTAGCATCATCTGCAATGTGAGATCGAGAAGCAAATGTATTCATACTTAAGTAAGTTCCTCTATTCCCACAAAGGATAATGTGATTATTACAGCACAGCACTTTTCAAATTATGGTGAGTGATGCTCATTTTCCATGTGAGGTGATATCTGTTTTGTATTTGTACAGAATGTACATAACAAAACAATTTGATAAAAATAAGTATAGCTGCAGCTGTAAGCAAAAGTTTGGGTGCCCCTGGTCAAATTATGTTTCCCGAATAAGTACACATTCTCTATAGACACACTTCTGCACAATTTAATGCTCAATTTTGTTGATTTTATGAATTTAACATATTGCAAGAAAATAAAACAATATATTGCCTGGGCAAAAGTTATGGCACATTTTATAGTTATTTTTATAATTTAATTATTTCTCAATATGTTAACGTCATAAGCAAATACACTCAATATACTCTCTAGAGTTAACTCAGAATGATGCAATAAATAAAACCATCCACTGAGCGGCAGTTTTATGGACAGAAATGTCTTGTTGATGACAGACATCAACAGAGAATGGCCAGACTGGTTCGAGCTAACAGAAAGGCTACAGTAACTCAGATAACCACTCTATACAACTGTAGCAAGCAGAAAAGCATTTTGGGTTCTGTCAGCCTTGAACGGAAAGCTGTTAGTTACATGACAGTTTCCTCACTATTTCAGAAAAAAAGCCAACAGTAACATCTATTAGACAAAAAACAGAAGAGGTTTTTATCGTTTGAAGTTGAGTTAGACATTTGTTTTTCTTTAAATCACATTTTGGGGTCTACAGTAGACAATAAACAGTTATTTCACACAGACATCTAAACAGGACTGAGATAAAAGGCATCCCATTGTAATACGGAGGCCCCTTGTGGTGAAATCTGGAAAAAACATTTTGTGCACATTTTTACCGTTAACTGATTTTGTTTATTATTTTGAACTGCAACATTATGAGCAATTTGTGAGTATACATCTTAGAATGTGACACAAAAATTAGCATATGTATGTGCGGTGGTTGTTCACTAATGTCTTGGATTTCTCTGTTATCTTAATATCTTGATATTATCATTCCCCAGTATTTAAAGGAAAATAAAGAATTACTGCACACAAACTGAAACTTTTTTATATGAAGTTCTAATAAAATAAATAGTCTTATTGGGGCTGAGCACTGTTGTAAAAGTTGTAAAAGTAAGTGAAATTTATCAAGAAACCAGAAAATAAAGACAAGTGGTTGCCAATTCAAATACTCACACACAATAATAATGTGAGTTAATAGAGACGACCACTCTGTTAGTGAGGGGGATGTAGGAAAAACTGCTTTCCCTTTAAGTGGGCAAGGTTTCTTGGCTTTGTGCATGTCTGGAGCTGATCCAGGCCTTTCCTGCTCATCAGAACTAAACTGACCAGGCCTTGTTCGTTTTGCTTAGCACTGCTGGCCTCTGTGGGTCTGGAGCAGGCACATCCTTTTAGCTCTGCCACAGGCATGTACTTTCCAGAGAAAACATGCTGTAAGGCAGCACACACCCCTCCATGGGGACCTGACTGATACAGAGATGCCACTGGGAATGCCATAAGGACAGTACTGCAGCACGTCCTACAAGGGTTAGAGCTAAGACTTTGTTGTCAGCAGTTAAAAAGTTGAACTTCTAAAAGAACAAGAGATACAACAGAATCAAGTGGAACAGTCAGCAAAACATGCAGTGTCCGAGATACAGTGTTGTCACTACTCTGTTGTTCAATAGTGCTAATATTTTAGGTTATATAACCAGGTTCATGTAGTAATATATTATCTACTACTTGCATTTGTTATTAATTATGTTTTATATGTTTTGTATTTTTAACCTTCCTGATCAAAATATCACAGTGAGTTGCAGTGCTATTCAGATGGTTAAGGTATACGAAGAACATAAATTGTAAACAGTACTTTAAATGTAAGAGTAAAATTTTGTGAAAAATGGCATATTTACATCATATACAATTCAGTCTGATACACTTTTCAAAGAAGACATTTCTGCTGACGGTGGTCCACATGCACATATTTTGGCTGTTCAAGATTAAACAGTTATTCAAGATTGCAAAAGAAATTCCATGTTTTATTTGAAGCTTATAACAAACATTAACATATATTCTACCTTGTATATTGCTGTTTTACAGTGACTCAGTAAAGAGCCCTGGCACAGAGGTGCTGTCACTGTTTTCCATCTTTAACAACTAACTGGGACCTTGTTAGGCCATCACCCATATTTGCAGTCAGTGACATTTTCTTTTAAAATATGTTCCACCACTTGAAAATCAGAACATGATTGGTTGATTTGATTCCTCTGCCACTTCCTAACAATCTTGGCAGCTAATCTAATGATCTGATGTGTAAGGCAGTTCAGCTCCTGAGATCTTAACCATGGCTGTATCCACCAAAATACCATGGAGAAAAAAATCCTTTTATAGCTTGTTTCAAGATTTTACCATTTTTGTTTCCAGCCAAAACTGAACGAAATACGAGTGGTACTACAAAACTCGCTTTTTTGTAGTACTACTGAGTTTAAATAGAAGCATGACGAATCTATTAATTAAAAATGAACTAAAAATGACAGACATGTAAATTTCAAGTTCCCAGAAATCATTAGGCCAGCTTTGAAGGCCTAGAAGGACCTGAGGGTTCCCCTCTATGTGTCACTTTGGTTTGTTTCGTTTGCTGTATGTTTCATCAACCCTACTATCTCTTTGAGTGACTTCCTCCTACATTGTTCTAGTAGGAAGCAATCAGGATATTCCTTCACCGGTACTTTTACATTGTAGTGATGTTCCAGCACCCTGGGAATAACTATTAATCTTACTCAAATCAGAGCTATTTTGAACCAACAGAAACAGGTCAATGGCTTGAAAACGCATAGTTGGAGATGCTTAGACTCATATCTTTAACAGTTCCCATTAATAACCTTGAAACTTCTAGAAAAAGAAAAGTTTTAAAGAATTGCAATGCAAGCATATTTGACATTAGTCAGGCACTGTATTAAAGAGTGAAATGTTATTTCTGATATTTCTGTACTTTTATGTTACACCTTTAAGGCCTCCAAACCTGCACGCATTGTGACAAGTGGTGCTCTGCATTACATGGAATCATGCATGTTGCCAATAGCATGCAAAAAGTCTCTGTTTTTTGGTGCTACTTGTAATGTATGGCTGGAGAAAATTAATTTAGGACTTAAGATTTGTTTTAATATTTTGAGTTAGGTACATAATATAGTAAGAGGCTTTTTGATTTGCTGCTTTTACTGTAGTCTGCAAATTTTCACTCCTGATCCTTCCTTGAGCATGTTGCTTGTGATGGGTAACTACGCAGAAAGTGTCAGAATGTTTCAGGTGATGTTAAGGGATGGAACAGTTCTTAACTTAATCACCCTTATTAACCTCCTCCAAGACATAGTGTGGAACCAGAATGCATGTCAGCCATTATTTCATCATATTATTGTTTTATATTATTTAAAAACATATACAATACAAACCTTACAGACTATTTTGTTCCTGTGAAAAGTTGCTTATTGAACATATTAGTCTCAGTGGATCAGCAGAACATCACAGTGAAGATGTAACAGTTTTTGTAACTGTCTGCTATGTCTCATAGGGAGTTATACAGAGGTATATTTATACATTATATTTAATCTATGAGTATACAAACTGATGCGCACATCAGAAAAGTGACATGCAGTTATATTGCTTTACTTTATGTATAATGGGTATTTTTAAATACTACTTCCAAATCTACGCTGATATGCTAACAATATATGCCATGCTAATTTTTCATATCAGTATACTGATATAAATATCACCAATGATTTTAGACTTCTGTTTAAAGCATTTATAGTCAGTGTGGGAAAATTAATTGCACAGATGCTTGCACTTCCTGACACCATTGACCTTTCAATTTGTATGGCTTTAATCCAGAACACTGTACTTCCTCAGAAGAGTTCAACTTTCTCTCCTTTTCTTTGCAGCATTAACACTAAAAAAAATTGGTGTGAATTCATCAGTCTTACATATCTAACAGTAAGTTTTTATAACATCCAATATTCTGTACTTTGTTTCAGATTGACAGCATTCAGAGTCTCCTACAGTGCCCCAGTATCTTGGTTTGTGTGGGCCGTGAACCTTTCCACCCACTGCTGTTGAACAGTTTCCGGAAAAATTCTGATGATAAACTTCCAAAGCTTGTCTTAAAGTCACGCTCCAGTGCCTGCAATGAGGAACAAGGATGTAAAAGTGGTATGCTATTGATTTTTTTATTTCTAAATTCTGGATTTTTTTGTTAAAAATAGCCACCCTTATTCCATTAATATTTACCATTAAATAGAATTCCAGCAACATGTTTGTAGAATGCCTTTGAGTAGATTAGGGAACTGCTTGGTTCATACTCAGCTCTTCTCACCTACTTACCAAAACCTCTAAAATTTCCCACGGTCGTCCACAGATATATATGACATGCTACACATAATAGCTGATAAACACTGATAGTTGCTATTAAGACTAAGAACCAGATTCCTTAATCTTTAATAATTCCTAGAGCTATAGAATCACAAAGCAAATCACATAATGACTTATATTTATGTTCTTGTTTGTGTGTCACATTTATAGTCAACTTTGGACTTGAAACCAAGAAAAGCATCATCCATCCAAGATCAAACTCTAATGACAAGTCAGCCCGACTCAGCATGTCATCAGAAAAGTCATTTCCACACATTCTTAACTCTGTTCCACCAAGGCAAACGAGTTCTTATTCTCAAGCAAGAGAAAGTGTGATGGATGATGACATTGAAAAGCGAGTTCTTGTCAATAAGGATGGTAGCTTGTCAATGGAGATGAAAGTGCGATTTCGACTGCTAAATGATGAGACACTGCACTGGTCCACAGAGATTAAGAAGTCATCAGGCATGGTTAATGAATCCTTCATGGGATACAATGATGCCTACTACCTCCAACACAGCAACAGTGAGAGTTGCTCTGAGGCAGAGTCCCTTTTCTGCTGGTGATGCTGATAATGCCAAACTTCACCAAAAGCATTTGGAGGAGCCTCACTGCCAGCACTGTTGTACTTACTGCCAAGAGTATGATATTTGGAAAAATCCAGTCCTTGGTGAACAAGGACCTGTGCAACACATCAGATCATCCAGTTCGAGCGCATCCTCACACAAAATAGTCTGCAAAAAGGCATCGGTTGACAGTGCGCATACTATGTCTAGTGAGGAATACACAGAGCAAGTATTAGAAAAAGCAACTTGCATTCAGCAGACTGTTGGGGAGGAAGGTGAAACCACAGTTGAATACTGTACCATCAGTCGTTGCTGCAGTCGCAGTGAAGCATGTTCAGTGAAGAAGGCTTACACTGAAGAGAAATATGAAAAAGTTGAGAATAGTCAGGTATTAATCAATGATGAGAAAAAACCTGACAGTACATCCACTGTTCCTTCTAAAGATTTACAAAAAGATTATGCGAGTGTCCAAATTACAGAGATCACCCAGGAAGAAGAGAGACCTTTATCTGTTGAAAGCAATTCCTCACAAGTTTTGGCATCCCTTAAGGAGGATCAGGATGAAGAGGAAACAGATCTCCCTCCAAGTAACTCAAGAGCATCCCAGAGTAACAATCAAGATGATGATGAAGAAACCAGAGATGTGGCTTTAAGCCCACATTCTGTCACATCCTGTAAGTCACCTATGTCTCCAAAACATCAATTATCACCTAGGCCACCAAGTAAAGTTTCAGGTTGCTCAGTGAAATCAAGATCCAGACAATATCAGAAATCGAAAGATGTGGTCGTGCTTGTAGAAAAACAGGCACCCGAAAGCAATATAACAAAGGCACACGATCGACCAGAGGAAAATGTCCTAAATGAAACTGATATCCAAGATGAAGAGAGAGCTCTAAGCTCAACGTCAATTATATCAAAACCAGATAATGATATTGGAGATGATACAGCAGGACCTGCAGAGACAGATCAAAAGGAACGATCATCAAGTGCCATGTCAACCAGATCAAATGCCTCTGGAAAATCAAGTAAATCCAATGTTAATGTTGTAGTTGAAGAGGAGCACACTGATGTCAAAGACAACCCTGAGGAGAGAACAACAAGTGCCATGTCATCTAATTCAAACATCTCGGCAAGATCAAGACAGTCCAAACTGTCAGAAGTACCACCTAATGAAACAAAGGAAGCTGAACTACAGATAGAGGAAAGAACCCAAAGTGCCATGTCTAACACTTCTACAAAATCAAGACGGTCAAGAGTTTCAGAAGTGGCAGCTAATGAATTTGTTGAGGTAGAAGACCAAATAGCAGAGAGAGTTCCAAGTGCAATGTCAACAGTATCTGCTCGATCCAATTCATCTAGAATATCAGAACCAGAGTCTTCTGATTTGAAAGAAGAGAATAACCAAATTGAGGACAGATCTCCTAGCAAAATGTCTGTCAAGTCTAATGTCTCTGCACAATCAAAGAAATCTAATTTTTCAGAAGTATCTTCTGTAAAACCTCAAATGATGGAGACACAAGAAAGGGTACCAAGCACTACGTCAACCAAGTCCAATGTATCGGCAACGTCAAAAAAATCAAAGATATCACAGGGAACAGCTGCAGACACTGTGGAAACAGGAGACAGAGGGTTAGAGGAGCGAGTACCGAGTGCCATGTCTGTTAAATCAAATACCTCTGTGAGATCAAATATTTCCAACATTTCAGAAGCGGTTCCTGCAGTGACTTGTGAAGATTCAGAGGAACATTCTAGAACACCAAACATTCTTTCAGACGATGAAGCAGGAGGAGAGGCGTTAGAGGAACGAGCTCCAAGTGCAAGGTCTATCAAGTCAAATGCATCTGCAAGGTCAAATAAATCTAAAGTTTCATCAATAGCCCCTGAAGAAGCAGATGAAATGGAGGAAGATTTAGAGAAAAGAGCATCAAGTGCTAGGTCTTCTAAGTCAGCCGCAACTTCAAGATCAGAGAAATACAAAATGACAGTCTCAAATTGTAAAAATACTGAGGAAAAGACAGAGAAATTGCAAGACAGACCTTCTAGTGTTCTGTCTTCTAAATCGCATGCATCTGAAAGATCTAAGAAGACTAAAAGTCCAGAGACTGCAGCGGATGATTCAGCAGACTTTGAAGACAAATCTGAAGAACGAGCTCCCAGTGCTATGTCTACAAAATCAAACACCTCTACAAAAACAAACAAGTCAAGAATATCAGAATATGTTGCTGATATTGCTGATGAAGAAGCTGCAGAACGATCTAAAAGTGCAATGTCTTCTATATCTAATGTTTCTACAAAATCCAAAAAGTCAAAAATTTCTGTTTTGACCAATGAAGAACGTGCAGGATTAGAGAGTCAAACCGAAGAACGACCCCCCAGTACACTGTCGGTTAAATCATACACTTCAGAAAAATCCACAAAACCAAAAGTTTCGGAAATCATGAACAATGAATGTAAAGATGCAGAGGAACGGTCTCCAAGTGCTATGACATCAAAATCCAATGTCTCTGAAAGATCAGTGCAGTCTAAGGTCTCGGAATTAGCACAGGATGATGCTGGTGATGCTGACACAGATGAAAAAACAGAGCAACGTGCAGCAAGTGCAATGTCAGCTAAATCCAACATTTCAGGAAGGTCTAAAAAGTCCAACATTTCTATTGTTGAAACAAATGAAACTGTTTTTGCAGAACAGAAAGATTCAAGTGCTATGTCTGAAAAATCAAATCAAAGTGATGAAGAGAAGGAGGAGAGAGTGACAAGTGCTTTGTCAACAAAATCTCATGTATCTGTGAAGTCTAACAAATCAAAAGTATCAGATCTTGCTTCAGAAGAACCTGAACATGTAGATGAAGGCGAAGGGAAAAGAGCACCAAGTGGTTTGTCTTCTAAGTCCGATGTTTCAATAAGATCTAACAGTTCAAAAGTTTCAACTTGTGAGCCTACAGACGTAGAACATCACACAGAGGGGAGAGATCAAAGTACAACATCAGCTAAATCAAACACATTGGTACCATCTAAGCCAACTGTTTCACAAAGTGCTGCTACAAAAACTGGGAAAACAAATAAAAGGGAAAAGGTGGGAAAACCCTCAAGTGCAATGTCTGCCAAATCCAGTGTTTGTGAAAAATCTGAAAAATCCAAAGCTGTAGAAGCAAAAACTGATTCAGCAGCAGAGGTAAATGAGCATCCTGAAGAGAGAGCAGCAAGTGTTGTGTCTGTGAAGTCCAATACCTCTGTGAAATCTAAGAAATCAACAGTTTCTGATGCACAGTGTGAAAATGTGGATGCAACATGTCATACCGATGAAAGATCACACAGTGTACTGTCAGTAAGAACCAATGCTTCTGCAAGATCTATAATGTCAAAAGCATCAGAGGCTCCTGGACAAGAACTTGCTGATGAAGATAAGGGAGAAAGGGCACTGAGTGCCATGTCTTGTAAATCCATTGTTTCAACTACATCTAACAAGTCAAAGATTTCAGATACAGTGATTTGTGAGCCTGTAGAGAGAGAGAGTGATACAGAAGAGAGATCTCAAAGCACAACATCAGCTAAATCGTATGTTTCTACAAAATCTAAGATTTCAAAAGTTTCAGTAGAAGCACTTCAGAAAACTGAAAACATAGATGAAGAAGGAAAAGAGGACAAGGGTGCAAGTGCAATGTCTCCATGTTCTTTGTCATCAAGATCTAATGCTTCTGCAAGAACTAAAAACTCAAAATTTTCAGAAACTGGGCCTGAGGATCCTGAGGAAGAGGATGAAGGAAAGAGCAAAAGAGCTTCAAGTGCAGCGTCACTCAAATCAAACATATCCGCAAAATCTAAAATGTCTGAATCTTCAGAAATTGTGCCCAAGGATTCTGCAGATATAGATCAGACTGCAACGAGAACTCCAAGTGTACTGTCAGCAAAATCAGATACCTCTAGAAGATCTAAGATGTCTAGAGGTTCAGACACAAGTTTTAAAGCAAAAGATGAGGAAACAGTTGAGAGATCTCCAAGTGCAATGTCTGCTAAATCTAACAGTTCAGTCACACCAAGTAGGTCAAAACAGGAAGAGCACTTAGAGGAAAGAGCTCCAAGTACTCTTTCAATTAAATCTGGCACCTCTACCAAACATGAAAAATCGAATATTTCCATCCAAACAGACAATTCTGCAAACATTGTCCCTGCTTTATCTGAAGAGACTAAAGAGAAGATGAAGACAGAAAAAAGAGCACCAAGTCCCATGTCTCCTAAATCTAATGTGTCCTCCAGATCATCTATATCAAAGAGTCCAGCTTTGGCTATTGAGCAGACCACTGAATCTGAAGATTTGAATCAGAGATCTGCTAGTGTCCTGTCAAAGGGATCTGTAAAATCTAAAAAATCACAAAATTCACAGAAGACAGCTGATAAACCTGCACAAAAAGAGAATAATGATGACAGGAACCCTAGTGTCCTATCAATTCATTCAAACACTTCTGCAATATTTAAAAACAAAAATGAAGATGAGCTGCAAGTAGAAAGATCAGTAAGTCCTGCATCTGCCAAATCTAACTCTTCTGCAAAGTCTAAAAAACCTGGAGCACCAAAGATTCAGGCTGAGGGCGGTATTCAGATGGAGGAGGAGTTAAATCGAGCTACAAGTGAGCTCTCTGCTAAGTCAAGTATCTCCACAAAGTCAAAAAAGTCCAAAGTTGAAGAAGAGAAGGAAAATGGCAATAACCCTGAAAACACAGAAATCGGTGACAAGAGAGTGAAAAGTGCTTTGTCAGACCATTCAAAGGCATCAAGCTCTGTTAAATGTGTCTGTGGTGGCTCAAAGAAACCAAAGCCTGCAACAGAAACATCTGCATATAAAGCTGACAGTGAGGAGAGGTCTGCCAGTGCTCTGTCTAAAAAATCTGCAAAGTCTAAAACCAGTTCAGTCGGCAGCACTTCTGAAATAGATTTAACTCCAGCAAGTGCTTCAGTTTCTATTGGAATTGTAGAAGAATATGATGCTGATAATATTGAAGAGGAACATAGTGCATCAGTGGTATCAACCACCTCTGTTCCACCTGTGAAATCAGAAAGTGACCACCCTGCAAATCGGCAGGGTACGCAAACTGATTTGAGAGACCTAAAACCAGATGAGAGACCTCAAAGTTCAGTGTCAGCAGGGACAAATGTCTCAAACAAATCCAAGAAGTCTAAATGCTCTCATAGTAAGGTGACAAGCAATACATCTGTAACAAATAATGCTATGGAAAGTAAATCTGACAGCCACATTAACACTAATAGTTCAGTGGAACAGAAATACCCAACTAGAGAGGAACGGTCATCCAGTAAGGTCTCCAGTGTTTCTCACTCCAAAGACATTAAGACCGACAGGCCAAAAAGTAATATGTCCAATGCATCATCTCATTTGGAAGTAAAAGGACAAAAGATTATGAGTAATTCCAAAAGTGACAATGCAAACGTACAAGCAAAAAGAACAAATAATTCAAGCAACAGATCCACTAAAGAAGATGAGAAAGAGCCATCAAGGCCTCGCTCAGCAGACCTGTATGCAACCTCAGAGAACCGACTCAGTCCCAGCCCATCAAAATCTCCAAACAGATCCAAAAAGCCTGTCATTCTCCTTGGGGGGTCTAATGATAGTGTGTTGTCTCAGTCTGTTTCAGCTCCAGATCTATTAAATGAAAATTCCAACAACCTGAATACAGCAGATGTATCTGATAGGACAAATGTATCTGATAGGACCTGTAATGGCCCTCTGGATGTTACTGATTATGGCAGGGATGTCAGTGACAAAACAAGTGAAAAAAGCAGTAAATGCAGAAACAGAAAAGGCAGCTCTTCACAACAGAAGGCAGATGATGAGATCTCTGAGTTGGTTCCATCTAACTTACCCAACACTTCTCCAACTGAGGTAGTGAATGAATGGCTGAATAAAATTCCACTGGACAGTGCTTTATATGAGGTTGGGGATGAATTCCATGAAAACTGTAAAGAACTAGAGACACTAAACAGATTAGGAGAGCCAACACAAAATGAAAAAGAGAATGAAAGTGAAGGAGATGTTGAAGTGGCTGTGCTTGAGCCTCAAATTGAGAAGGAAGCTCAAATGGCAACTAAAGAAATGGATAATAATGACAAAGAAGAGGAGGTGAAAAAAATGACTGACAAAGACCTGAAAAAGAACCAATCTTGTCCTGAAAAAGATGACGTCCCAAAAAGTTTTCATTCTTCTGTCCAGGTTATGAGAATTTTACTGAGTCCCAAACTTGACAGATGCAACAGTTTACCAGAGGTATCTACTGTATACGGACAAAAACTCAGCACCTCAGCAAGAGGACTTTTAGACTGCCTCGTAAATCTCCAGTTAATTGATTTCGATCCCAATGATGTAAATGGTAAAGCTGAAAAATACAAGGACCTCATGAACATGCTTCAGTCCCTTTGGCTCTGTGACCCATCGGACAGGATGACAGTGACACAGAAAAGTAAATCCAGTGATCAGCAGTCTGGGGATGATGAACTGAAGGCCAAGTCATCCTCAGGGGTAGACGTAAGCAGTGGCTCAACTGGCTCTGGAAAGAGCAGTGTAAATGATAGCACCCAGGCTCAGAAATCCCAAACCAATACAGAAGGTGAGGGCCCTGAAACACTGACAAAGGTACAAGAGGTTGATGAAATAGAAAAAGAAGAGGCTTTAGAGGTGGTAGAAACAAATTCTGATCCAGCAACCCCAGACATTGCAAGTCGAGTCCAGTGGACCCCTGAGACTGAGGCAGAGGGTGCTGTGGAAGAAAGAATTAAAGATGGTAACATTCCAACCTCAGATGATACAATACGGAGCAACGATAGTCCAGGAGAGCCACTTGAAACACCCCCTTCATCAAACAAGAGTGCTGGAAATGAGCATCAAGAAGAAACAAGTTCGGGCACCCCTCCGTCAGTGCAGAGGGCTCCATTAACAAAAAGAGTTTCTCAAGATCCTGATCCCTGTCTGGGTGTTAAATCTGCTGAATAAACTAGAAAAGCAGTTCATGACACATTATGTCAATGCAATGGCTGAATTCAAAGTACGCTGGAACTTAGATGACAATGAGCAGCTTGATGTCATGATATGTGAATTAAGGGACGAAGTCCATAAGAGGATACAATCAAGCATAGACAGAGAACTCAGGAAAATTCAGGGTCGTGCAGGAAAACCTAAACCACCAAAAGAAGCCATGTCACGTGAGTCAACTATTCAAACAGAACAAAGGCGCAGGCGTCTGAAAGTAATGCTCAACCAGTCCATAGATCCAGCAACCAAAAGTGATGATGATTATACAGCGACAGGGACTGATTTTCAGTGATCAGCGCAGTGATGATGAATACTGCCCATGTGACACATGCATGAAAAAGAAAATGGCATCAAAGCCTGTGCTACCTACGGAGGCCTTAAATTCTGCTCCAGCGATGATGGAATTTGATTTAAGAAAAATTCTGCAGCTGAAAAGAGAAGCTCCCGCAAGTAACAAAGAAAATATTATTGAGGGGACTGGAAATGAGGAGCTAAACACAGAAGATGCGATCACTGATTGTGCAGAGTCACACGAAGTAGTGGACACTGAAACTGAAAAACTAGACATAAATGAAGAAGCAACTGAATGTGAAACAGAAATTGATAAATGCACAGTTGAAGCAGAAACCTCTGTTGAAAGTAAGACTGATAAGCAAGAATTTCTAAGAGAGCTTGATACTCCTGATGAAGAAACAGCAGAGCGGGGTGAGACAGCTGAAGTTGAAAATGTGGAGACAGCCAAGGTTGACACAGTAGCAGAAGAGGAAATCGCTGAAGGGGGCCTAGAAGGTGAGGAAACAGTGGAGGCTGATGAAGCTGAAGTAGCAGAAGATGTAGAGGAAGTTGATGAATTGATAAAAGGAAATGGGTCTGAGGAAGGTGATGCAGAGGGAGAAGTGCAGCCCCCAGACACTGAACTTGCAGAAGAAATTGAAGCAAATATGGCTAGAGGGGAAGACAAAGAGAGTGAAGAAGCAGACAAAGCTGAAATCGGAGAAGATGAGACTTCAGAACCAAAAAGTGCTGAATTTCAACCTACAAAAGAAAGTGAAACACCTGATCAGATAACAGATGAGCATACGGATGCTGAAACTTTGGAGAAAAATGAGACACCTGAAGGAGATTTGGCAGCAGAAGAGGATGGGGAAACAGCAGCTGAAATTGGTACTGTAGAAACCACCAATGCTGAAATAGCAGATGATGAAGAGGAAGCTGAGTATGAAGTGGCAGAGGAAAAAGAGTTTCTGAAAGAAGGAACAGGGGAAGAAGAGGACACCCTAGAGCCAAAGAAACAGGATATTACACATTGTGAAGAAACAGATGGAGATGAGTCAGTTGAAGGAAAAGATACCACTGAGGAGGAAACAACAGGAGAGGAAACAGTTGAGGATGGAATAGTGGATGAGGAAAAGATTAGTGAAACTGCAGAAGATGGAGAAGCAACTGAAGATGAATCTGCTGCAGAGTTCACTGAAATAACAAAAGATGGAGAGATAGTTAATGATGGAGAGACAACTAAATTAGAAACAGCAGAAGAGGAAGAAATGACTGATCAAACAGCAGAAGACACACAGACAGATAAAGCTGAAACAGCAGAAGAGGAAGAAACAGCTGAAGATATACTTTTTGAGGAGACAGCTGATGATAAAACACAAGAAGACAGAGAGACAACTAATGATGAAACAGCAGAAGGTGAAGAGGCACCTAAAGCTGAAATAGCAGAAAACGGAGAGAGAACTAATAAAATGACAGTAGACAGTGAGACTACTGATGATGGAACAAGTATGGATGAAGAGACAGCTGATAATGAAACAGCAGAAGATGATGAATTAGCTGAAGTCAGAAGAGTAGAGGATGGAGAGACAACTGATGAAGAAACACCAGAAGACAGAGAGACATCTGATGGAGAAGTAGCTAAAGAGGAAAGAGCAGAAGATGGGGAGGAAATACCAGAAGATGATGAGACAGATGATGATGAAACAGCACAGGATGGAGAGACTTCTAAAGCTGATATAGCAGAAGATGGAGGGAGGGCTGATGAAACAGGAGGAGATGAAAAGAATGATAATAATGGAACAGAAGAGGATGAAGAGACAGCAGAAGATGGAGAAATCACAGATGACAGAATAGCAGACAAAGAGACAGGCAATGATGAAGCAACAGAAAATGAAGAGACAGGGGAAGCTAAAACAGCAGAACATAGAGACACAGCTGACGAAGGAACAGTTGAAGATGAAGAGGCTTCAGGAGCTGAAATTGGACAGGATGGAGAGACAGCAGAAGATGGAGAAGCAGCTGATGATGGAACAGCAGATGACGAGACAGGTCATGAAGAAGCAGAAGATGAAGAAACAGCTGGCAATGAAAAGGCAGAGGAAGAGAGAGAAGAAGCTGAAACAACAGAAGATGGAGAGACAGGCCATGAAGAAGCAGAAGATGAAGAAATGGGTGGCAATGATATGGCAGAGGAAGAGAGAAATGAAGCTGAAACCTCAAAAGATGTAGACACAGCTCATGATGGAACAGCAGAAGATGGAGAGACAGCTGACGATGCAACAGCAGAAGATGAAGAGACAGCTGAGGATGCAACAGGAGAAGATGGAGAGACAGCTGATGATGCAACAGAAGAAGATGGAGAGACAGCTGATGATGCAACAGGAGAAGATGGAGGGGCAGCTGATGATGCAACAGGAGAAGATGGAGAGGCAGCTGATGATGGAACAGGAGAAGATGGAGAGACAGCTGATGATGCAACAGCAGAAGATGGAGGGGCAGCTGATGATGGGACAGCAGAAGATGGAGGGGCAGCTGATGATGGGACAGCAGAAGATGGAGGGACAGCTGATGATGGAACAGCAGAAGATGGAGAGACAGCTGATGATGGAACAGGAGAAGATGGAGAGACAGCTGACGATGGAACAGCAGAAGGTGGGGAGGCAGCTGATGATGGAACAGCAGAAGGTGGAGAGACAGCTGATGATGGAACAGCAGAAGGTGGGGAGGCAGCTGATGATGGAACAGCAGAAGATGGAGAGACAGCTGATGATGAAACAGCAGAAGATGAAGAGACAGCTGATGATGGAACAGCAGAAGATGGAGGGACAGCTGATGATGGAACAGCAGAAGATGGAGAGACAGCTGATGGAACAGCAGAAGACGGAGGGACAGCTGATGATGGAACAGCAGAAGATGGAGGGACAGCTGATGATGGAACAGCAGAAGATGAAGAGACAGCTGATGATGGAACAGCAGAAGATGGAGGGACAGCTGATGATGGAACAGCAGAAGATGGAGGGACAGCTGATGATCGAACAGCAGAAGATGAAGAGACAGCTGATGAAGGAACAGCCACACGTGAAAAGACTTCTGAAGATGAAACAGCAGAAGATGGAGAAATAGCTAAAACAGAAATACAAACATCTGAAGGGACAACTGATGATGAAAGTTTAGAAAACGAAGAGAAAGCTGGTGAAGTGGAGGGAACAGACAATGGAGAAATGGATAAAAGTGACACTGCTGAAGGAGAGGAAGAAGCGAGAAAGGAGGCTGAGATAGCAGGTAAGGATCAACATCAAACAGATGATCCTGTTGTTAATTCTAGTATTGAAAACACTGATGGTCATGATGAAGTAACTGAATTAAAAGCAGATGATGAAGCTGATGATGATGCACCACTTAAAAATGAGGGTGATGTTGTTGTACACAGCATTGATGAACAAGCAAGTGTTGAAGAAAGTAAAGAAGAGCACACAGATAACACAAAAGCAGAAGAAAGCTCAGAGTTGATGAGTGATAGTCAAGACAAGGAGCACTCTGGGACATCAGAAAAAGATGATATGAGAGATTATTTAAATGGCCATTTAGTAAATGTTGGTGAATCGGCTGAAGGGGGAGATGAAGCTGAGGATGAAACCGAACCAGATGTCAATACAGATGAAGAAAGGGAAGAGGTGAAGATTTCTGCTGTGCAGCCTCCAGTTTGGTCAGTGCAGGAAGATGACCAAACTGATGAAACAACAATGGCATCATTTGATGCTATAGTCAAAATATCCACAGGCTCTGAAGATGGAGCTGAGGCTGATGTTGAAGATTCAGAAACAGACGGTCACTGCAAGTATGACATTGCTGAAAATGATGATGAAGATGATTCTGTCACTATAGAGAGGAAGCAAGCTACCGCACACAGTCCTGTGGAAAAGAAAGAGACTGAAAGCCATGCAAAACTATCAGATATTGCAGAGGATGCTGCTGAAGATGAGGAGAACGAGGAAACATCAAAACAAGAAGGACTAATAAAAGGTACTAACTGTGGTGAAGAATCAGCTAAGGATAGCTTGGCACGGCAAATGACAAAGTCATCCATAGAATCGCAGCCTGGGTCAATGGAAGAAGTTTTGGATGAGGAGACGAGAAGTAAGGAAAGTTCAGATCACCTCACTGTGAAAAGCAACTGCATGTATCCCACTATTACGTCAGAGGAAGACAGCAAAGACACACAAGAAAAAAGTGACACAGAGTCTGTAGAGTTAGGCAGGCACGCTGCCACCCCTAAGAAAGCTGCTAAAAAAAAAGCAAACTGAAAAGCATTGAATAACTTTTTTAAATAACAGTGGTAAATGCTGGTTTTAGTTACCAAACACTGTATACTCTATATTATGCACTTTATTAATATTTATTCATATTATTGCAATGGCACATGCACTTCTGCACAGCACAACCTATGTTGTTAAAGGGAATAACTAAAACTTGAAAACACCTATGTGAAATAAAACTTTTTCCTTGTTAAATTACAAATAGATAATCACACATACATACAGTTTTTTTTTTTTGTATTGAGCTGCAATAAGGTATTCTTAAAATATTATACTGTACTGGAGCCTTAGCCTTTGTATATTATCATGTTTAGACAATGGGAGGATGATGTATAATATTCTGCAACAGCTAATGTACTCTATATACCAGTAATCACAAAAAACAATGACAGTCCCTTAAGAGGAATAGTGCAGTAATGTACTTTGTGTCATACGTGTGAATTTATGTGTCTGAGCATGTAACAGTAGAAGGGAAAATTACTTCTAATTAGCTGAATTATTCTCCTTCATCATTATACTGTATGTTGAATCATGATATTCCACACTTTGACCGTCCTTAGTATTTTATATATATATATATATATATATATATATATATGTGTGTGTGTATATCACAACATACGTTATACACACTTGTCTTTAAGACACATTATTAATCATAATTTTGTTTAATTTAATTTTGTAGTGTTACAAAGTATGAAAATAAGTAAAAAAAAAAATTAAAGAGAAAAACACCCCTCCAGAATTAACACAGATTACAATAATACTTACATTTATAGTAAGTGTATTTTAAATACACTTAAAATGTGCGTTAAACTAATAGTAAGCTGGTATCACATGACAAGTTGGTCATCATCATATTGTAAATTGTAGTGCTATAATACTACAATGATTCCCTCAATTTTGCTAAAGAATGAGGAGCTTGTACAATACCAAATCCCACTTTGGAAGCCTTTAATTCATAGGAAAATATGCCTTAGATGCTTTGCCACATGCACCAGTGCAAGGTATTTCAACTTCATCCATGACCTTATCCTAAAAAAGATAACATATTGCACATTAACTGCAAGTCAAATATGAGGAAATATATAATACTGAGAAATGAAGAAAGACAAAGTGACATCACAAATATGTATTCACTTTGCTGTAATTTGTTTGCATCATGCACATTATATTAAAAGTAAATTAACATTTGTGGTTGCTACTCTGGCAATTAAGTCTGTATGTCTAAGTTTTGCCCCCTTGGATCAAGATTATTGTACTGTACCAGTACTGTACTGGATGACTACCATTTCTGACTTTAATGTACTGTTATTCTCAATAAAATAACCCATATTGACAAGTATTTGTTGTATTGACAGTTTGCTTTGTTTTGACATAAAAAAAATAATGACCCTAGATGCAATTACATCACAAACATAACAAACAAAAAGTTAGTCTTCTAATTATCTTAAGGTATCTGTTGTTTCACATAAACAAAGACAATTCTGCTGTTGTCAGAACCAAATCTTGAATCTTCAAAACTGTCATTTTTGCATTTTTACAAGGAAAAAACTTCCAATGTAAGTTAATGTCAAAAGATTTTAGCATTTAACTTTGAACCAGTTGGACCATTTGGACCACTTATATCTGCTAAACTCTCTCTCTCATATCTCTAATCAATCAGTGGTCAAGGCAGTAAACTGAGTTCAGTAGAGACTGCACAACCTGGGATACAAAGAGGTTTTCATAAACAATGAAACTTGCTCAAATTCCATGACAAGTTTGCTGTGTAACCTCTTTGTGCTCTGAATAACCTATATTCTTTTCAAATACACATTTATCTAAAAAGAGTACATTCCTACCAAATATTTAGCACCTTTTTGAGCAAATACTGTTCTAAGGCTAATTCAGAGTATATGAGTGTACCGTTAATGCCCTACCCCTGTCCTACTTACAGTACACTGTAATATGAATTATTTAGGGGTGTAATGATTCACAGAATTCATAATTTGGTTTGATATGCTGGTGTTTCAATACATTTTCTGATACAGCAAAAATAAGTACCTGAAAATCTGCCAGAACGCGCAGAACCCAATAATGTAAGAATTTCCCAATAACGTAATAATGAGCAGATATTAAATGACATAAACAAGGGCAAAAATATAACAAAACCCAATAATGTAATAACTTGCCCAATAATGTGACACAATGCCTTAACAGATAACGTAATAAGACTTTTACTGAAAATCTAACATCTTATTGCATTATTGAGAATTTGTTACATTTTCAGTTTGACCATATGTGATACTTTATTACATTACTGACAAGAACAAAAGGTATTATCAAAACATTGGGTTCTATATGTGCATACTGAATTGTGAGGGTTGTATTGAACAATGAAATAGGATACCTCGTATTGTTACACTCCTAGAATTAATGCATTTTCAAGTCTTGTCACATGAGCACCAGTACTTTTATTGTGCCGCTTCATTTTGGCAGCCTGAAGCGTGTACCATGTCAGTTCATGTCATGCAGGCCATGATTTTTCTGACATTGCATCCTTCATAAGTTTTAAATACGGAGGTAATTATTTTAAGAGAGCATGGTTTATTTCTAAACCGTCGATAGATCATAGTGTGACATCTGTGACAAAATAAAAAATGCTCCCCAAAAATATTGAAGGAGAAAAATCAGCAAACTATTAATAATTTGCTCCACCTCATCCATCAGCCAGAGTCCCCCTAGTTAAGAGTCAATTCCCAGCCATCGCGACACCTCAAGCATTTTTGTTTTTGTTCCCTAACTTGGTCGCTTTAACAGACCGGTCAGTTCATTGAATAGGGGCAGAGCCCAAGGATTCAATACCCTGACAACTGCAATTACTCAGGGCACCCAGCACTGTAAGGACATCGGGAGTCTGCTGCAGTAATGGATAGTCTGAAGAGCATTTTATAGAGGGGTCCCTCATCTAACTTATTCCACCATAGAAGAATCTACAAGACCTGTCAAGGTCCATTTCAAATAAGACTTCATTTGAATTTAACCACATACCAGGCAGTTATGCTTTGTTAAATGATATTGATGTACGCTATAACATGCAATTATTAACATCTGTAGCCTACATTTCATGGCAGCTTCTGATTAATTCTAACTCCTCCTCCTCCTCCTTTCCCTTGCATTGCCATTTACATCCATTTATCCGAAGCAGTGCCATATAGGCTATGCCTATGTATATTTTGGAGGTTTTAATTAACGTCTGCCTTTGACAAGGTAAGTGTGTGGCTGGGTATTTGAAAATGTCCTAGGAGACTTCATTCCCTACCTATGCTGTGCTGGAGTCAGAGGTGTGCAGCCCCACTGGACAAGCTTGATGGATAGTCCTCTCTTTGTGAGTTTCCATCCACTGCTTCCAGAGGGGATGTGACATAAATAATTGGTGTCACTCCCATCGACCGAGTGCCACACTTGGAGAAAGAGCTGGAGTGACTCACATAACACACTGCAGAATGCCTACAGAGTACATGCAGAGAAAGTTAGTGATAATAAGATAGATCACACTGGGTAAAATCATACTAACAGGTAAAGAATTTTCCACTCGGCATGGAATAATTGGTATATATTTTCCATCTACTGCAAGATTTTCTTTTTTCCTTAAGTAAGCCATGAATAAGTGGTTATCTCATGGTGGTAGGCCATTGTAGATTAAGAAATTTAAAATAATCTCAATTATTATAGTTCTCATAGGAAGCCATTGCTCTAGCAGCTACTACAAATGTCTTACGTATAATAGTAATGTCTGAACAATTACAGCCATAAAACAATGTAAGAATGCTAATTTCAAAGACATCAAAATGCACTCGATTTGCAATGTCACAATTCCACAGCATATTCCCTGTTATAGTCACTAATGTTATTATAATAGCTTAACCTTGGATAAAATTTTTAAGAAAAAATGTTAAGATCTCCTTTGATAAACTTTTATATCTGATTTACAGCATACAAATTCATGAGCATCAGTATAAATGAGAAAAGGCCTGAGAATGTTGAGAAAAAAGTCAAGTTCTGGACGCTTGTGCATGCCAAAAGCATACAATCTTCACATGCCAAAGTGTAAATAAACAATGTAGTTATGAGA